TATATATCTCTCTCTCTCTCTCTCTCTCTCTCTCTCTCTCTCTCTCTCTCTCTCTCTCTCTCTCTCTCTATCACAGATATATTACTAACTTTTTCCCCATGTGCGCGGATATGAGATCTTTTTTTCGGATTCGTTGTCCACGGAACACCTGCTGCAGCCGAATAACGACTGTAGTCACTGTCCATGCAAAGCTCGTTGAATGACGACTGCAGTTGATGTTTCGGTGTCTTTTATTGCTGTACATTATTTCGGCGAGTGCATTAGCGGGCCAGCACACGTCGGTCATTCGTCGCTCTTCGCAACTTTGCTCCATGAACTGCAAAAGGTTCAACATTTACACATGTTTAACACCAAAAAGATCAAAGCGAGCGCGCGCGACGGTAGACACGTTTGTAAAAGTAACCAATCCTTTCGATATGCTTCATCGTGAAACTTGCACGTGCACCTGATACGAAACGCGATTCCTCGTGGAGCTATTATCGCGTTGGACGTGTAATACATGCGATTTGCCGGCGATAATTACGTATATGATATTTTCGCAGATTGATCATATGTGAAGTGAAGTTAATCGGTCAGGCGAACGTAAATTCAATGAACGGTGAGTGCATAGCGATCGGAAAATGTAAATGTAAGGGAAGTCGCAAATCCGTAAAATAACAGCACGTATAAATTAAACGAAGTCTCTGGGTCGGAATAAATCGTACGCGGAATATTATCGGGCAACTTTTCCATAAGGACAGTCGATACTTTCCGTTAAACTTGCGATATTAACGATATTATCATTGTTCGTCTTGTGACATGATTAATATGAAAACAGTCGAGAATGTCGATATCGATAAAAGACCTCGTAAAAACGAGATACGTTCGTCCCTCCGACATTACCACCGAGCGAGCAAATCGTGCGAGAAAATTGCGATTGATTTGGTTTACACTCTGTCCAAGGTATTCCGGAACGTCCAACGTTCGTGTTAAAGAAGCATCCCTTTTCACCGTGGCAGGTTCGAGTTTTTCGGAGACTCTCAAGTGCGACTAATAATTGCCAGCAAGAATTTCAGCGAATTTCGCTCTGCTCCCTCGACAATCTAATGCAAACTTTAGTCGCTCAGGCATTTAATACCTGACCGAATTTTGACGAGTTTTGCGACTAATAACATTCCCTTTCCTTTTTCGAAGGGAAATCGACTCGAGAATTGTCGGAGAACTTGTCGTTAAAATCGCGAGATGGAAACTACGACACTCCGAATATGCGCTAAAAATATATTATAAATGCGCAAGTTAATAATAAAAATGTGTATAGAGATTGCTCGATGAGTTATCGAGGCGAGGCGAACGACGACGTTTGCGCGAAGTTGTCTCCGCTTCTGCCTGGCGACAGTCGATATTTCTCTATGCCGAAAAATGTCGGTGAAAAAAGGAAGAAAAAGAGTGATGGACTTCGGTGTCGCTCACACGATGTGTAGTCGATGTTTCTGTTGCAATCCCGGAGCCGCTTTGCGACATTCGCTCGTAAATCGCGGGATATTTAATAGAAATGTTTGCGTTCGGCGAGATCGTCGGATATTTACGGATATTTACAAGGAAAGTGCGATAGACTTGCGATAGACTCGTGATTAAAATTTCGCACGGATGAGACGTTTATTGTGATATATGGTTGTTCTTACCGGCTAGTAAATTGAGATTATTTACCCGACGTTAAAAACTCGTACATAATCCGGGGGACACATCGGGCAAAATGGTAATAATAATCGATAATTTGTGGCATATAAAGTGATACCTGGTCAGTATAGAAAAATACGCGGGTGCATGCAAATTGCTCGCAATAGAGGACAAATCTCGAATAAATTTCGAGCATTTTGTCCAAACGCTTTCTCGTTTTGTTCCGAGCACACGCGTCACCCAGGGGAAAAAAGCCAGCGTCCAGACGACATGGAAAAGACGCATCGAGGTGTCACTCTGACATGTTGAGGGTGTCGTAAATATATTCGAAAACGCGTCGCTAAAAACGTAAGACGCGCGTCTTTTTCCGCTGCTCGGAATCCGATTTTAAGTCGAGACTTTAGTTCAGTTCGGCGTGACCCGACACACTCGTCCGAGACTTTTCCTCCAACGTGACCGCTATCGCCCCTACCTGCATAACGAAAAACATCTAAGAAAAGGAACGCTACCTGGCTTAAGAGCGGTCTATTTTCTACATATTCCGCATTCTCAAAGAAACGAGCTTGGCGTCTCACAGTCCCATTTACGGAAACGCGTCAGCTTCAGATTGAAACACCCACGGTGACAATGTTTGTACCGAATTTAAAGTATCTCAGTGCGTTTCAACTCGCGCGCTTCGCACCGTTGTTGAATTACTTCAACCGACGCCAGATACTTCAACGGAGGAAGGGTACTCCACAGCTTCCGTGCGCTATTTGCGCGCAACCATCACATCCGTTAGAAATTTCATTGTAGCTAAGCTGTCGATAAGCTATTCAGGACGTCAAAACCTATCAAGGGCGGGAGTATCGCGACCGCTATTTTTACTCTTTCTCTTGCCGTCCCTCTTCGCCTACGATAGATTCAACGAGAGGCAAAAAGAAAAGGAAAAATTGCCGGATGGTAGTAAATTAAAGCGCGACGGAGGCTCTTTAACGTGGCTCGCCTAGCCTCCTACCCCTCGCCCCGGCTACTCTCGTGCTTCACGAAATGTATTTCGTGAGGAATGTTGCGACTCCGGTTCCGCGATGCTGTCGAACTTTGTCAAGGTGCCAGAGACTGGACCAAAATGGAATTTCACTCTATAACGACTCTATTTCACGGGATACGCCATGTGCGTCGAACCAAGGCTCCGTTCGTTGGAGGCTCGACTGCTTGCTATGCTAAACACATTGGCCTCAACAGGATTCCTTTAAAACGTACTTCTTTCTTTCTTTCTAGTTTCTCTCTCTCTCTCACCCCCCCCCCCCCCCC